CTCTTTCTTTTCCTCAGATAATCTCAAGTTTGTTGATTTTGAAGATATTTTTAAAGAACTACTAGTTTTTGGTTGTTGTTGTTGATAATGATTTCTTTTTTTTCCCCCTGCCTATTTCATTGCCCTTGGCTCTAGTTCTTACTTTATTTCCAAAATATTAGACTAGAAGATTAGATTATAAATTTTAGATCTTTTTTTTAAAAGCCTTAGTCATTTCTTTCTGTAACTACTACAACTTTTGCCATATCCTACAAATTTTGGTACATTGTGTTTTCATTTGTCTCAAATTATTTTCTAAATTCCTTGCCATTTCTTTTATGACTTGTTGGTTATTTAGACATGGTTGTTAACATACCAAATATTTGTGAATTTTCCTATTTTCTTTCTTCTGTGATCTCTAATTTTATTTCACTGTGTTTGGAGGATATTTTGCATGATTCCAGACGTTTCACACTTGTTGACACCTTCTCTGTGACTGCCCCATGCTTGCTGGAGACTGTTGACTCCAGTATTGTCAAGTACTTTCTATCCTCCTTTTAGTAGAACCCAGATTCCCCACAGAAATTATTACATTCCTACATGAGCTAACTCTACCTAGCAGCTTTGACAACCCCTGTTCTCATTCATGTTCAGGAAATGTTTTTGACTGGCTTATTCATATAAGCTTAATTATTACAATTTCAGTAATGTTTTGAGATGATGGGGAATAATTACAATGTATGTTTATGGGAAGTTTAAAAATACTTTGAAAAAGCTTGTATGTAAGTGTTCAGAACAGCATTCCTTAACACAGGTAGCTAAAACAAAGATCACCGTATGAATGGATTGACCAAATATGGTGTACGAGTTCAATGAAATATTATTCAGCCATTAAAAAGAAGTGCAATTCTGATGTCTCTGCCCCGTGAATGAGCCTTGAAAATATTAGGTAACAGAAGCCAGGCACATCTGCCACCTAACATTGTGCAATTGCATTTATGTGGAAACATGTGGAGTAGTCAATTTCATAGCAACAGAAGCAGCTTAAAGCCTGTCAAAACCTGGATGAGGAAGTGGTTGCTTGGGGAGGGGGGTTGGTTCAGAGGGTCTGCGGGCAATGAGCGTGCTCCGGAATTAGCCATGATCACCACACAGCATGGTGAATGTACTCGGTGTCTCTGCTGCAGAACATTGTGCATATGTTGTTACAATGAGAAAACTAAGGCTAATGGGATGGCTGGGGTGGGGTGAGGTACGGTGCCTAGAGAGCGGAGTTCTGAGTCTCCTCTCTAGAGCCCACAGGGTAGAAGAGAACTGACCCAAAAGTTGTTCTCCGACCTCTGTGTGCATGATGGCATGCATGATCAGACACATACACACAAGAGAAAGAAGGTAGCGGTGAAAAAATTTAAAGAAAGAAAATAAATCTTTACACAGCTTTAATTAAAATAGAACTATATCACTTCCCCCTTTCCCTTTCCTTCAGAAAAAAATCAATTTCTAAAATACAGATATAGCTAGAGATAGAAAAGAAACACAAAAATCTTATTTTGAAATGATATTTCTATCAGTTATTAAAAAATAAAGATCAAAGTCTAGAATGAGGAAAATGTGAGTGACTTAGGCATATATTCTTCGTTGTCAGAATGCATGGTATGAAGTGGATGAAAAAACCAGCTCTTTTTCTCACTGGCAAACTGTGGCACATCTGGTTTTCATGTGCTGAACGTTATTGTGAATTTTTTTTTTTTTGAAGTTTAGATGAGCAAGATAAAGTCTTTGCTCTGGAGCTCTGCTCTTACTGAAACTGCAAGGGGCTGTTTGCTGGCAGCTTTTATTATTCTTAAAGATCACAGCTAGAAGTAATTCATCATCAGGCTTTTATTTGGTTTGGATTTTGGTTGTTAGTAGTGGTGGAAAGTCACAAAAAGGAGTGGAGTGAATTGTAGCTTACTCCAAACAACCTAAAAGTAAAACAGATCAAATACTATATTGAGAAATGCTGTAAATGTCTGAATGGTACTGACATTCCAGAACTATGAATCGAGTTGCCTATGTCTTCCGATTGAGCTCAGGGTCCAGGGGGACTGTGCAAACTCAGCTTAGTACCTTCATGTCCTAACTCCCTGGAGAACAGACAAATCATTAGCGAGAGCCTAAAATGATAGCTCAGTCCCAAAGCTATCATTAGTTCAGCTGTCACTTGTTCTTCCCCGCTGTACTGTCAACGCTAACCTAATCGTGCAATGCGTACTTTAAAAGTAGCATTTTAGGACCGATACTAGAAGCTGTGTGTTGTTTCTCACTGTAGTAAAATTCAGTAGCCTCTTTGTTCCTAGGAATAAAGTGAATTGAACTTGAGAAGCCCTATTTGTGTTTGCTATTAGGTCAAACCATAATGTACATTAACTGATTAACTAGATTTATCTTCTTGTACAAAACTTGAGCCAATAATTAATTACACTGCAGTTTACGTATCTGTTTTAAGTGGTTGCAAAGAATTTAACAAGATGTAAAAAACATCTCCGTAAGTTGGGCCTGGGAAGACGGAGCAGCAATTAAAATGCTGTCTACAAAAGAACAGCAAGCTTGAGGCTCAGAGTCCAGATCCCCGGAACCATGTAAACGCTGGGTGGACTTTGCAGCCCCCTGCAGTTCCGTACTGGCAAGGTGAGAAAGGATCCCTGGAACAAGCTGGCTGGCTAGACCAGCTGTGCGGATGAGCTCTGGCTTCAACTGAAAGACCTTGCCTCAGTGAACAACTTGGAGAGCAACCCAGGAAGACTCCCTCAGGACGCACATGTATGCACATGTGAGCACGCATGCACACACACGGACATGTCAGTGTTCCCACAAATATATGAACACATATACACAGACATGCACAAAACGCATGCATGCACGCTAGCTATAATGGCCTTGATGATAACTGGGGTAATGCTTTGCAGAAGGTGAACATGGGCTCTTGTTAGCAGCTCTGTAGCTGATCTTGTCGTTTATTCCTCCCCTCCCCCCCCCACACACCTAGTATGGTAGGATAGGGATAAGATGTTAACATGTCTCTTTTGAATAGGATGGTGTGAGTGCTTATTCGTTCCCTTAACAACTATCTTGGCACAAGATTAGCTTTGATTAGATGGAAGGCATGACTTCTGGACATTTGTTGTGTATCAGCAGTCATTTTCTGTGTGTTATTAGTTAGGATCAAATTTGCCATGCCCCTGGGGTGGCTTCATGAGTTGTTACAAGGAAAGGTTGATCATTTGTTGGATGTTCGTTCTGAGGATGAGAACATGATCTTCAGGGTTTGCATACTGACCAAGCCAAGGAGTCCTGTGCTCTCTCTCTCTCCCTAGTCTCAGCAAGACTGCACACAGCAGTGGCTGTAAACAAAGCTGCTCTTTACCCAAGATGTTTCTGTCTGCACTGCCATCAGCCATGCAGCCAAGGGCAGGACAGGAGGTTCTCAGTGAAGTACTCAGTCAGTCAGTAGACTGACAAATTCCCATTGAACCAATGTTTTGGAGTACTTAGTGTCTGGAGTTTTTTCTGCAAACACTCCTTTACCCCACTGTTTATCAAGAAACAACTGTGTGCCCGAATCCCTTGGCGCTATTATAAATAAAGAGTAAACAGGCTTAACAAGAGACATTGCCCTGTGTAAGGGATGTAAACTAGCTAGGGGAAAAGCCAACCTACTGTAATGAGAAGATTCAAAAAAACTATTTCTGCCAAAGTAAAGCAGAAGTTTTGTGACCGCCCAGCCAGTTGGACCTGGGGAGCACCCTCCTGGGTGAATTCGCAGGACACCTTCCCACCCTGGTACTGGGCCAGCCTTGCTGATAAGCCTCACCCTGTTGGGTCTCTTGCTTTGCTACTTACAGTTCACATTTCACAGTAGAGGGGAGGCCTGGAGAAATGATTTGTCCATGAATTGAGATGATCCACGTATCTCCAACCGTCCACCTCCCCAGTAACTTGACCCTAGTCACTGTCACACCTAGCTGCAAAGGAGGCTGGAAGCGTAACCTCTTGCCAAGCCAGCCCAACTGCAATCAGGAGCACAGTCATGATCCAAATGTTGGGTGACAGTTGTATCATGGAGGAAAAGAAAGCAGGGGTGGGAGGTGAAACCCTGGGTATTGCTATTGCAACTTGAGTTTGGCGAACAGCATTGACCCAGCAAATGACAGCTGAGGGAGGAGTCTGCGTGGCACTATGGGAAGAACAGGCAGACACAACTGACAGGTAGGGAAGATTTGGGAGACTCAGTAACCACTACTCATTGCTGTGGCCCAGTGCCTGACAAGAAGCAGCTTAAGGGAAGAAGTGCATATTTGGGTTCATGGCAGGGTTACTGTCCATCAGGGTATGGAGGGCATGGCAGTGGGACCAGCGCTTCCCACCCACCAGTGGCGGCATGAGGCTGCTTATCCACATTTCAGTGAATTGGGACGAGAAAGGGATGCTGCTACCCAACCAGCTTTTGCCTAGACCCCAGAACGTGGGATGGTATTGCTTGCAATTGGGATGGGTCTTCCTCAGTCGTTTCTGCAAACACCCCCACAGGCAAACCCAGGGTGTAACTCACTAATGCCCTAGGTGTTTCTAAATTCAGCCAAGCTGATAGTCCAGATTAGCCCTTGAATCAGAGAAATGACTTTTCTTTTAGGAGAGAGGGGAACAGTTGCAATGAGGAGCCGGTCTGGCCCTGTTTGAGCTCCAGGGTACCTCACAGCCATGGAGATAGCTAGTAACCATGGGCCCTATGAGCCTGGTGTGTCCATTTGCAACCCACAGGCTGGGCACAGCCGAGAATAGCTATGAATGCAGTCCAACAAAAAAACAAAACAAAAAACCATAAACTTGTGTAGTAATTGGATTACACAGTTCTGGAATATGAACTTGAGGGGTGACAACAGGGTGTCACATATCACAGTAAGATAAGGTTGGACATGCCTCGAAGCATTTTGAGTCCTGGCTTGCGGAGTCTGTCCTGACCTGTTCCTGTCGATGTTCAGGTACCAGTAAGGTGAACCTCGTGAAGATCTCGTCCACGGCCTCCAGCCCTCGGGATACAGCCCTGGCTGCTGTCATCTGCAGTGCTCTGGCCACCGTGCTGCTGGCCCTGCTCATCCTGTGTGTCATCTACTGCAAGAGGCAGTTCATGGAGAAGAAGCCCAGCTGTAAGCCTCTCACCCCCACCCCACCCCCGGCTTACTGTGACGGGAGCATGTTATCATTGTCGCACAAGTCCTTGAGAGACCTGGCTAAGGCAAGCGTCACCAGCGACTTAGGATACAAGACTCAGGAGGACAGGCCTCTTCAGGGGTTTCAGGGCCTCAGAAGGATGCTGACACAGCTGTGAAGTCTCAAGGCTGCAAAAATAAAAATCATCTATACCCTACATTCTTCACAAATTATTTTAAATGCTGTGTGCCTCTGTATAAGAATAGACAGTCCTTAGCTTGCCATCATTCAGCTTAACTTTTCAATGCCATGGTGGTCCGGAAGTTTATCTGTTAAACCATATCCTTCTCGCCTTTAGCCCATATGCAAGAAATTTCGTAGATGAAGGCTAGGCCCTAGCTCAGTGGTAGAGCACTTGCCTAACATGTGCAAGGCCCTGGGCTTTAATTCCCAGCACACACAGAAATGTGGGGGTTGGAAGCTGGAGAGATGCCTCAGTGGTTAAGAGCCCTGGCTGCTCTTCTACAGGAAGATTCAATTTCCAGCACCACGCAGCAGCTTACAGTATCTGCAAATCCAGCCCCAGGGAAACTGATGCCCTTTTCTGATCTTCATGAGCATCAGGCATGGATGTGGTATACATGCAGGCAAAATACCCTTACACATAAATAATAATGTTTTGTAAGTGTGTGTGTATGTATATGTGTGGGAATGGGTATGTAATGACATAGGCTTTGTATTGATTGAGTTTGCCCACCGTAGGCCAGCAGAAGTATTATGGTCCAGGTTAAGTTATTCTGGACCAAGCACTAATGTTTGGAAGATTGTCGTACTGCGTGTCTTCAGTTTACAGTGAGTGTCTTGGGGTAAACAGAAGGGTTATATTGGATAATGCTGTTGTCTCTTCAAGAATACAAATGCAAGAGTGGTGCCCTTCTTATGGAGAAGTGTTGATTGGGGATCTCTCCTCTCCTCTAGGGTCCCTGAGGTCACAGGACATTCAGTACAATGGCTCTGAGCTGTCATGTTTTGACCAGCCTCGGCTCCGCCACTGTGCCCATAGAGCGTGTTGTCAGTGTCACCGGGACTCAGCCCAGACCTATGGTGAGTTGAGCTGTGAAGAACCGATGTCTACATGGCATGCAGAATGGGACTGCAAAGCAGGGCATTGCCAAGTACAGCTCGTATTCTTCGGAACGTCACAGGCTGATTTTCCAGTCATAGCCCGACCTGTCTCAACGACTCTCCTCTGACCACTTTGGTTTGGGTGCTTCAGATCTCTTCAGTATTAAGAGAACAGGAAGATCCATAGAACTGTGTTCTATGTGTAGAGGTGGGGTTAGCATCCTTGTACATGAGTCAGAGTTGCTATTGCTGGGACAAAACACCACAACCAAAAGCAGCTCAGGAAGAAAGGGTTTATTTGGCTTCCATAGTCATCAAGGGAAGCCAAGACAGAAACTCAAAGAACCTGGAGACAGGAGCTGATGCAGAGGCCATGGAAAGGTGCTGCCTACTGGCGTACTCTTCATGGCTTGCTCTGTCTGCTTTCTTATAGAACCCAGGACCACCATTCCAGGGATGGAACTACCCACAATGGGCTGGACATTAAGAAATGCCCCACAGGCTTGCCCACAGCCCCAGCTTATGGAGGCATTTTTTTTTTTAACAACTGGGGCTCCCTCCTCTTAAAGTACTCCACCTGTGTCAAATCAACATAAAGCTAACCAACATACCTTGGTTACCTGGCCAGTTTAAACTGAATAATAATGTGTCTGATTTCAATGACTTCGGTGGGGAGGACGGAAGAAGGAGGTCCTTATCAGGGTCCAGCCATGCCTGCCTCTTGGCCTGTTGCTGGAAATAGCCATTAAGGAGACTTGATGCTGGTGGAGATGTGCCTCTGACCCAGACAGGCAAAGGTGACATGACTTTCTCTGCCCCTTGCTCATCAGCATCAACTTGAAGTTTCTACTTTATAACCTATTCCAGCTGACCTCCTGCACATAAATCCCATGTGGCTGGCAGTAACTGGTGGCAGTCTGGCTGAGTAGCCCTCTCTGTTGTCCTGAGTTTCTGTTTCATCTGCATGTAATGCCTATGAGAGTACCAAGTCATCTATTAGGCACTACTGTATATCTGCTTCAAGTAACTCATACTCCAGGTTGGTTAGACCAGCCTCTTGGGATCACCCAGTGCCTCTCGGTAATGTTGCAAAATGGACCATCTCAGTCCCACATGTCACAAAATGAATGAGAATGTCTCACTGTTGTCCCCAGGTCCTGTCCTCCTTCCTGACAGGCCTCATTATACAGCCCAGGCTGACCGAAGTCCTCCTTCCTCCTGCTTCAGTCTTGACACCGATGTGCACTTGTGTGACTTCTGGACATTTGTATTCCTTCTTCTGCTAAATATCCACCTAGTAAAGTCCAGCTACCTTTCCAAGGGGAACAAAGCTTAGCTGGTGTGAATGAGAAAGTTCAGGAGGAACTAAAGCCCCGTGCTTCACGCTTTTCTGCCTTCCTCAGGGCCCGTTCACCTGATTCCATCTTTGTGCTGTGAGGAGGCCCGCAGCCCTGCCCGCACTGCGCTTGGCTGTGGGCTGCGTTCTACAGCTGCCCTTCAGGAGAGGTAACTGCCTTCCGGTCCACAATGTCAGATTCCCATTTGCAAATATGTGGCCTCCTGATGTAGCAGCTTTGTGTTTCCCTGGAGAGACCTGCTGCGTAAGCGTCATCGGTGACTTGGGAACCTGAGAGGAGAGAGACCCCTGATACCTGACACCGCCTTCTGGTGCTCCCTCCCCAACCCACTTCACTTTTGTGTTACATTCATGACATGTCTCTATTTTTATAAGATGTTAAGGTGTGTCTGTGAGTTTCTGTGTGTAAGGACGAGCACACATCTGTGCTTACAGATGCCCTCAGAAGCCAACGGCGTCAGCCACCCCCTGGAACTAGAGTTACAGGTGGCTGTGCGTCTCCCAGTGTGGGGGCTGGAAGCCGAGCTCAGTGTGTGTAAGAGCAGTATGCGTGTGCAGTTAACTGCTGAGCCGCCTCTCCAGCCTCTGTTGCTGATGTTTCTGCAATCTCAAGAGTAATGTCTCACTTGTCACATACTGCTGGCACACTGCCTAGAACAACAGTCAAGAAAACTCAGTTAAGAACTAAGAGAATGCGGTGTAGAGGTTGGATATGGTTATAGTAATTAGAAATAGTTGTAAAAACCAGTTTTAAGGGCTGGGTGTGGTGCTGCACACCTGTGATCCCAGCACTTGGAGAGGCAGAGGCAGAGGCAGGCAGATCTCTCTGAGTTTGAGGCCAGTCTGGCCCACCAAGTGAGTCCAGGACAGCCAAGGCTACAGAGAGAGAAACCCTGTCTCATGAAAAACAAACAAACAAACAAACAAACAAACAGTTTTAAGGTCAACAGAGTAGCTTCAGTTGCCACACTGAGGCAACTTTAAAACAACAGTTAGCACTGGAATTCCCAGTATGTTGGTATTACAGCCATATTAAAAGTTATAGCTGAAATGCTTTTCTGTAGCAGTGGTTTTGTCACTGTATAATACTTACAAACCTTTGGGTGTGTGTTCAGAAATGCAGCTTCACTGGGGAACACAATGCCAGCTTTCTTCGGCTCTGTTTCCCGTTCCATCTGCGGTGAGTTTTCGGATGCCTGGCCTCTGATGCAGAACCCTCTGGGTGGTGACAGCTCCTTTTGTGACTCCTATCCTGAACTCACTGGAGAAGATGTCAATTCCATCAATCCAGAAAATGAAAGCTCAGCATCTTTGGATTCCATTGGTGGTCAGGATCCAGCTGGGGCAGCTGTTCCAGATTCTTCTGGAAATTTCTCAGGAACTATTGACTCACCTAGAAATGGTGATATAGTCTGGGAGCAGACCCTAGCTCAGGATGCTCAAAGGACTCCAAGCCAAGGAGGCTGGGAAGGCAGTGACACCTTGGACCTAGCCATGCCCACATCCTTCCAGGTAAGACAGTGATGGGTTTCAGTGGGAGCTTGGCAATGGCCTATGCTAGACTAGAGGGATCCAAACCCTGTTCCCACTTTGAAATCTGGAGAGGTAGATGAGGGTAATTGTATTTTATTATTCCTCATATATTATTTCATGTACAAAAACCAGAAGATGTTTTAAAATAAGTTTCAAGTGCTTTTTTTTTTTTTTTAAACAAACAAAACCATTTTATGGGAGGACAAAGGGCCATGACACTCTGCCTTGTCTTCTTAAATCTGACTGCTTAGTGTGGAAAGCTTCCTGACAAAGACCCTCTCTCAAGAAAACATGTTTGCAAGAATTCCTTAGTTTCTAATATAAAATGGTATCTTAGGGTTTCTATTGCTGTGATATAGAACTATCTACAAAACACTCCTGCACCTCTGGCTTCGAGAACATTGCCGAGGAGGGGCAGGAAGATTTTAAACCATGGGGCCTCAACCCTGCACAAAGAGGTAAAGGCAACTGAGGAAAGCTGGGGGCAGGAGAGGTGGTCTTCCTTAGGGCAGAGCACACCAGTTGTCCAGTGCCAAACAGTCAGCCCTGAAAGCATACATACAAGTAAGATGATATGGACTCAACAGGTTATGTTTATGATTATATACAAATACACATATGAATGTGATAACAGAAAAAGAGGCCATGAATTTGAAGGAGGTACAGAGGGGCTATGAGTAGTTTTGGAGGGAGGAAATGGAAGCAAGAGATGTTGTAATTATCACAGAGAGAGCGAAGTGGGGAGAAGTGACGAGAAGTATACCTAAAGTATTCCCTTTAGGTACACTTACTGAATCTGTAAGACCCAAGTCTCTGCACATGCAGGACCCCTCATGGGCTTGCGGCAGCCAAGTCTTTAACTCAGCTAATTTTGCTATTTTCTGACCAGTGCATTCTAAAAAGCAATTCATATTTCCTTTCACCAGGCCCATTTTTCAAGGTAGACAATGCATTCTCATAAAGAATTTGATACTACCAAAGGAGGTAGCACACAAGGAAAACTCATCACTCAGGAGGATCACCATGAGTTCAAGATCAGCCTAGGGTATATAGTTATTTGGGCGCTATGGTAGGCTACATAGCAAGACTCTGTTTGTTTGTTTGTTTATAATCCAATAAATTCAAACAAAAAGGAAGTTGATTTCAGTAGCTTACTGTTAGAAAACAAAGCATGGAGCATCTAGATCATCTGTCCATTCCTTAGGTTCGTGACTCATTAGCTTGCTCCATACCATGGACTCCTTTGGAATTCGGGAAGGAACTGGGAAGCAGCCCCAGCCCCACCTGGTGTAAGGCTGTGATTTCCAAAGCATGGTAAATCTGTTTCCTGGATCGGTATTTTTACACTCTAGTGTTTTTGTGGGTGCTTTAAGACCATCCAGGATCTGATGGTAATGTTCCCAATTCAGGATGAATACATAGGTGTGAGAGCCACCTTTAGCCACCATGAGTCTGTTCAAATCTCATTTTCCCTGTGCCCATCTGTGCAGAAGGGAACAGAGAGAGCTGAGGGATGTGGGGTGTCCGTCGCTGAGATAGTTGAGAGAAGGAAGCTAGCCTGTTTCCTTATAGGAAAAGCTTTCTTGGTGGTTTTGCAGCTTTATTTTATTTTATGTTATTTTGTCATTGGAACAGGAAGGCACATGTAGGTGTCAGAAGACACTTTGCAGGGATCTCTACTTTTGCTGGGTTCCAGGGATCCAGCTCCATTCACGACCAGTGCTTACCCATGAGCTACGTTGTAGGTCCCCTTGGTGTTATTTTTTTTTAAACATCATTTAATGTCAACAGTGATTTCTATGTCAGTTAGATGGCTCAGCTGGTAAAAAAAAAAAGGTGATGGCTGCCACGCCTGATGACCTGAGTTTGATCCTTTGGAGTCAACATAGCGGAAGGAGAGAGCCGACACCTGCCAGTTGTTCTCTGCCCTTCACATGCACCGAGGGATGGCACAAACATTCCACACTCCCCACTCAAAACAGTAAACAAGGAAACAAATACATAACTCAAGAGGAAGGAGCAGAGGGTTAGCGAAGCTCTGAGAGGACCACCCAGCTTTCCAATCTACCGATCTGCTCTTTGCATATGATCAAGTGAGAGAGTTGGCTTTCTGCAGTAGAGTTCAAAATATTTGTTACCCTAGCAACAGGTAGTCACCATATTTGGTAAAAATTATTTCCCAGTGTTCAGACAGACTTCAGAACCTCTGATTTCTAGAGAATGTCTTTACCTAGAGATGTTTACCATAGTTACCAATGCAAATTAGTGATGACCACATTGCCAGGGGCTTGTGCATGAAAGCAAGGTTCTAGTCCCAGCTGATGTCCAGTCCCATTTTGAAGCGGGGCCATACTTCCTGTGATACAGCACCTTGCTGAAGATAATTATCTCAAGAAGACTGTGCCTATTCAAGGGAGACCATAAAAAGCCATCCTGCTCTCTCACTCTTTGCAGACATCTGCCAGGAGTGGAAGAGTAAGGTTCTGTGATCGAGGTGGCAGACAGAGCGGTGGTGTTCACTGTCCACCTTCATTTCTGGAGGCCCTGATGACTTCCCTAAGAATGCTTTAGGAAGCCCCACACTGAAGCAGTGCCTTCAAATGTTCCAATGAGGGTGATGAACAAAAGAATTTGTTTGTTTTGTTTTGTTTTGTTTTTAAGTCATCGTGATTATTATGGGTTACGTTGTCATCTTTCAGTTAGTCAGCCCATACTGGTAATTGTGCCGTTACAAATCCTTCATTGCTTTCTCGGAAGACGTGGTATGGGATGCTTGAATATGGATACTACTCTTAGTAGCTGTGCACAATCCGTTTTAGGATGACCATGTCACAGCTTTAACTTAGAAGGCACCATTTTCCAAGCTTTCCCTCTGTTGCTGTTTTAGGATGCCTGAAGACCACCTTCCTGAAGTGGAGGTGTGGGTCTGGACACACCTCTGTTGGGGCTTACAGACTGAGTACTCTTGACTGTCTATGGTTTCTGGAGGAAAAAATAAATCTGAACCAAACTGGCAGCATTTCCAGCCTTTCAACCAGTTGCTTCTGAGCCTGACCAGCTGTAAGCCGAAACCTCAACAAGAAGCAAGGAGAGGCTGCCGGCGGCCTGGGGACCTGCGCTTCTCCCCTAAACAAGAACCTTAGCTGAAGGCAATTTGAAGGACCAATGGGTGGAATGTACTGCCTGAAAGATTGTGGGCACAGCAGGACCTAGCCTGGCCCCTTCTTACATCCATGGTGAATGTGGTTTCACAAGACCCAGAGTATAGACATAGAGTATAGTATAGGCATTCTCTTTCCGAAGTAATCCCTTATCCTATGACAAGCCTTGGAAGAGCCCTTCCTTGGATTTTAAGCAGAGCTCTGGGGGTTCTGTTGAAGAAAGTCACTCTCTCATCAGCAGGTTGGTATACAGCAGTGGGCTGAAGGGGCTTCGTAGCCCTGCCTCAATCGTGGTTTGGTGAAGTCAACTAGCCTATTCATTATGAGCAACTTTTGGTCTCTTCCCCATGAATGTGCAGCAGCGTTGACAGGACAGGAAGCCTGGGTTATGGGATGTAGAAGGGAAGAGGGCATCACTTTACTATCGTAACCACCTACTGTGCATATCCTGAAGCCTGACTGTGTGTGTTAGGACCGTGACTGTGGAAGCATGTGTTAGGTATGCCCGCCCCCTCCCCGTGCTGGGCTCACAATGCCCGAGTTCTTATATAGGAAGGAGGTGCTTAAAAACATAGTAATCTGTGATCTGCACCTGAATTTATATAAAATGCTTCGGCATCTTGAGTGTGCCACTGCAGGGTCCTTAAGTGGGAAGCTAGTGCACATTAGAACCAGATGTGGAAAAGCATGGTTGGCAGACAGTTTGGGAGAACAGGCTCCCTGATGCCATATAGTCTAACCAAGGCTTTGCAGTACAGCATTCTGATGTAGGGGTGTTATGTAAGGTGTCCCATCTTCTCCATGAGGGCATCTCCCTACCAGAACAGTCTCTAAGGCTAAGGAAGAATGAGGGCTCATTTTCTCTTTATCATTTGCCCTGCGGCTTCATTAGGCAGGACTTACTTGGTTTCCGGTTTGAACTTACATAATCAGATTTGACCTCTGCCTTTTGACCCTTTGTTGTTGCTCTGTTACATTTACACTCTAAAAAATATCTAGATCTGTGACATAAATGTGATTGGATTCACTGGAAGCTGCCCTTCTTAAATTGGGCTCTCTTCCCTGCCACCAAAACCAAACATGGAGATACTGTCTTCCTAGATATTTTTATCTTCTGTTTCCCCCCATGGTTTTCTCTCTTTGTAAGACATGGATAGATTTAATGAGCCCTCTCCCTGTGGCCTCTTTCTAGCCATAATTATAGCTTTTGATGTGTATCTTCTGGCTTGTCTGTACCTGTTGCTTCTCATGACGTCTGCTCTTTTGCCAGCTATAGGAAGAACACTGCCATAATGTCCCATGGTAGCTCACATCTGCTTTCATGTCCACTGGTGCCCAGTCATAACTGATTGACATTTTTGTTTCTGTGTCCCCAGCCCTTATGAGAATTGGCTTTAGGAAAGTCGTAAACATTTAGGATTTAACCAGCAGATTTCCATGAGGATGCAAGCTGAGCTCCCTGAATGGCCTCCTCATAATGCACATGTGTGTGCCATTGTTTGCAACCTAATCATCTCTGTTATGACAGAGGGATGATCAAAGCCAGCAGGGTTGTGTTCCTTTGTGTAACCTGAATATATTTTCCACATGCCAAGCCCTGATGGACTTCAAAGACACAGCTGGGGAAAGCCAGACTGATGGAAGAGAGACTTTGGCCCCAAATCCCAAAATATCACTTTCAATCAGAAGAGAAATGCTGAGGGTTAAAAATTGATTTCATTTGATACTGCACTTGGAAGATTCTGGATCATCATCAAAAAGGAGATATGCTCGCACCAGCCACTCTAGAAACATGCAACAGTGTTTTTACATTTTACACTCACTGTAAACAAGAGGGGAAAACGCAACTTGCGCTTCACATGATTGGAGCATCTTACAAGGCTGTTTACACAGGAGCTGGCATGCTGATGTCAGACACTTGTACAGAGAGGCATCTTGACATAGGGGCCCCCGACCTCCCCTTTCACATGGCAGAAGCCAGGACAAGATGAAGGCAAGGAGTTTTGAATCAGTCAGGTCAAGTCATGTGTTTTCTATTTTGAATAATACGGAATATATTTTGAATTTTGGGGTTTTCTACTTTAAAGAGTTACTGCTGCTGTTTTTTAGTATAGGCACTGCTGTGTGTGTTAGAAGAAAACAGAAAAGGAAAGAAAAACAATCACCGCTTTTAAGATAGTTTGTATCAGCTTAGATTTCATCATGACTGTTTTACATACTGGAATTTATAAATTGTAAGTTATCATTTTCCAATGCGAACCCTTTTTAATGCTTTTTAAAACTTGTGAATAAAATTGATACTCCTTATTTTTAGTTACATGTCAAGTCAAAATGGTTTTGTAGTTGTGGTTCTATTTCACTTGCTTCAAAAATTCATGTGTATGTCATAAATCATGGAGAATGGCACACAGTCGCTGACAGCACACAGACTATTGTGGGGGACACAGAGTCATTGTGAGGGCACAGAGATCACTGTGATGGACACAGAAGTCATTGTGAAGGCTAAGCTGAATCATTGTAAAGGCCACACAGTGATTGTGAAGACAAAGAGTCCACAGAAGTCTTTGTAAGGGTACCCAACATCATGGTGAAGGTCACACAGAGTCATTTTGAGGGCACACAAAGTCAATGTGAAGGTTACGTAGTCCTATGAGGCCACATAATCATTTGGAGGGGACACAAATGATTGTGAGGACACACAAAATCATTGAGAGGCCACAAAAAATCATTCTGAAAGTCACATCCCAAGTCATTGTGAGGATACACAAAACTATTGTGAAGGACGCACAGGCACCATGAGGGCACAAAAAGTTATTGTGAAGTTATTAATAATTGAGAGTCATATATAATTTTGAGTGTATACAAATGACATCACACATAGTCACTGTGAAGGTTCAAAAGTCATTGAGAGGATATACAATGTCCTGAAGTTCACACATCATTTTGAAGGTCATATGGAGTCATTGTGATGGCACACAAAGTCATTTGTGAGGACATACAAGTGATTGTGAGTTCATAGAGCCCTTATTAGGTCATACAGAATCATTGTGAGAGAACACAGAGTCATTGTGAAGGTCACAGAGTCATTGTAGAGGTCATGCAGTCATTGTGAGATCACAAAAATTCTTTGTGAAGGTGACAGTGTCATTGTGATGGTAAACAAAGTCGAAAAGATAACAGTCTTTATGAGAACACAAAATGCCATTGTAGGGATGCACACACTCATCTGAGGTCACACGTAGCCATTGTGAAGGTACATAAAATCCTTGTGAGCTTCACGGTCATTGTCACACACAGTCGCTGCACAAGACATTAGGATGACACAGCTCCTTGTGAGAGAGTGACAGTGTCATTAAGGTTAGGCAGCGTTACTGTGAGACCACACCTCGTCCTTGTGTGGGCACAGAGAGTCATTATGAGAGCACATAAGTCACTGTAAGGGTACATGATGTCATTGTGAAGATCACGCAGACTTTGTGATAGCACAGAGGGTCTTATGAGGGTCTCATGATCATGGTGAAAGCATACAATGTCATTTTGAGGACAGAGTGTCATTATGGTCCCAGAGAGTTATGTGATGGTAACATATAGTCACTGTGAAGGGCAGACAAAATCATGGTGAGGGCCCCCAAACTCTGTGACAGCACACGTCACTGTCATTGTGAGGGTCAAATGTAGTCATTATAAGGCCTCATATTTCATTGTGAGGGTATAAAGAGTCATTGTGAGGCCATACAAATTCATTGTGAGTTCATACAGAAACATGAGGGCACAAAAACAGTTCGGGTTGCCCAGAGTCACTGTGAGTACCACACAAAGTCATCGTTGTTCTGCCCAGTTCACGAACCCCAAAAGACCAGGAATAAACAGACTCCGCTGTAAATACATGAGGTTCTCTTTATTGTAAATTACAAGCTGCAGCTTAGGCCCACACCCCCCACCGCTGAAGCGGTGGGAGCCGAGAGCCCCGCGCCCAGGTTAGTTGGGTGATTTAAAGATTCTGGTCCCTCCCAGCATGCCCAAGGCAGGGGCGATTCCTGCCTGGTAAGCATCTGTTGGTCAAAATGCTACATTTTGAATTGATTGGCTATAGGAAGGTCCCCAGACCATAATGACCTGGTGTCCCTCCCTAGGGGGATGGACCAGTTTCCGAGCAACTGTATCTCTATTGGGTGGGGAAAGAATGCAGTAAGGCAGTCCTTCCCCTCAGGGCATTCCTGGATTTCTCCACCCTCCTAGTTCAGGCCTTAATTAATAGCTGATTTTTAATCTTTTGGTCTCTCATTGTGAGGACACACAATGTCTTTGTGAAGGTCACAGTGATTCATTGTGAGGGAACACAATGGCATTTTGAGGGCTATAAATAGTATTCGTGAAGGCCACTATACTCATTGTGAAGGTCACACAGCATCACTGTGAGGCTACACATACTCATTCTGAGGTGGCATAAATCATTCTGAAAGCATGTAACATCACTGTGAGCACCACCATGCGTCGCTATGATGTCACAGAGCCATTGTTGTGCCACACAGAATCAATGTATATGTTACAAAGGCTCAGTAGGAGGGTACACTAGTCATGGTGAGAGTCACAGGAGTCATTCAGAAGACCACACAGCCTTTGTGAAGGAACACAAAGTCATCGTGGAGACACACAAAGTCATTGTGAGCGTCATAAAGTGTCATTGTGAAGGTCTCCCAGTGTCTCTGTGAGAGGACACAAAACCATTGTGTGGGCACACAGACTCATTGTGATGGCCCAGAAGTTATTACAAGGACACAAGAAGTCATTGTGAAGCTCACACTAAGTCGTTGTGACAATCACAAAGTCAGTGTGAAGGTCACACAGCATCGCTGTGAAGGAACACTAAGTCTTTATGAGCAGACACAAAGCCATTGTTGAGGTCAGAGTCTTTGTGGAGGCACACAGAGTCGTTATGGGGGACACACAAGTTATGGGGAGGGCACAGATTCACAAAAAAATATCACCATGAGGGCACATGAGTCACTGTAAAATCACCACAGTGACCACAAGGACACACAACTCATAGCAAGAGACAGAGTAATTGTGAAAGTCAAGTAGAGTCCTAGTGAGAAGACGTAGTCATTGTGAAGGCTCAGAGGAAAAATAGGAGGGCATGCAAGTTATTCTGAGGGCATACATAGTCTTCATGAGGGCACACAGAGTTGTAATAATACAAAGCTATTGTGAAGGGTACAGTGAGGATGGTAAGGGCACAGAAAGTAAATAAGAGGGCGCAAAAGAAAATGTGAAGGTGACAAATTTATTGTGAGGATATATAATAATCACTATCACACACAGTCATTGTTAGGGCATACAAATCATTGGGAGGATTACAAAGTGTCATTGTGGAAGTCACCACACAATCATTTTGAAGTAACACAACGTCATTTGTGAGGTCAGAAGATCTTATTTAATGCCACACAAGTAGTTATGAAGGTCACAGCCATTCATTGTTACGGTCATTTTATGAGGCTCACAGATTAACTTTGATGGCCACACAGAGTCACTGTGCCATTGCAGTGCTTACAAAGAATCATGGTGAAAGTTAGACAAAGTCATTGTGAAGGCAGACAAGTAATTGTGAAGGTCATAGCCAGTTACTGTTACGGTCACAAAAGATATTCTGGGGATATATGTATATTTGTATATATACATATACAAATTAATTGCGATGATCACCTAGAGTCATTATGAAGGTAACACAGAGCCATTAGCATGTCATAAAGCCACTGTGAATCTCACACAGGATTGTTATCATGACACATGAGTCAATGTGAAAGTCACACAAATCATTGTGATGATCACACAGGTTTATTGTGATGATCACAGAATCATTCTGGTGGCTCAAAAAATCATGTGAAGGTGACACAAAGTCATTGTGAGTTCATACGTCATTGTGATGACCCACAGTCATTATGAAGGCACACCAGTCATTCTGAGAGCACAATGTCATTGTGAGAGAATATAGAATAATTGTGACACAACACAAAATCAGTGTGAGAGACATACAGAGCCCTTGTGATAACACACAAAATTATTGTGAAAGATGGATAGTGTTTTTGAGAGCCTACATAAGGGCTGCAAGTTATTGAAAAAGGTCACATTTCTTCTGAAGGGGAAAAAGAATCATTGTAAATGTCACAAAGTCACTATAAGGGATCACAACATTGTGAAAGACAGACAAAATCACAGTGAGTCTTTGACAAAGGCACGGGCAGTCATTTTGATGGCACACAGTCATTGTGAAGGCATACACGGTCATTATGAGAGTACACAACTTATTTCAAGGGCACTCGTAATCATTTTAGGACACACGCAGTCATTGGGGACATGGAGTCATGTGAAGCTCACACTGAGGATCTGAGGGCACACAGAGTCATTGTGAGGGCTGGAAATCATTGTGACGGCCACGTGGAGTCATAGTGAAGGCAAACGGTTATAACTGTAAAGGGAATACACATCATCATGAAACAAAGTCATTGCAAAGGCACAAGAACTATTATGAAGATCACACAGAGTCACTGTGGAGGAATACAAATTATTTTACGGGTCAAAAAGAGACCTTGTGAAGGACCACAGAGTCATTCCTGTGGAACACAGAGTTATAGTAAAGACACACAAAGTCATTATGAGGATGACACAGACTTACTGTGAAGGTCTCAAAATTTCATTTGAAAGGCTATAGACCCATACTGAAGGTCACATAGTCATTGTGATCAAGAACTAGTTCTTGGGAAGGTCATGCAGAGTCACTGTGAAGGTCACACCAAGTCAGGGCAAGGGTCACACAAAGTCATTACAAGGGCACACACATTCATATGAGGTCAGATATGAGGCCCAGTGTGTGGGCACATAAAAACATTTTGGGCTCACACGCAGTCATTATGAACATGGGCCAGTCATTACAAGAGCATATGAAGTCAATGTAGGTCAGACAGAGTCATGGTGAAGTCATACAGAGTGATCACGTAGGCACGGAGTCATTACAAAGGCACAAAGTCATTGTAAACATCACATTGAGTCATTGTGAAGAACACAGATAATCATTGTGAGGGCACACAAGGTTATTCTATGGGTCTCAAAGAATGATTGTGAAGGATGTAAAGAGCCATTTTGAATGAAGACAAAGTTGTGAGGGCAAACAAGTCAATGTTAGGAGCCTACAAAGTCACTGTGAGTGTACACACAATCATTGTGAGAACACACGTCATTATGATAGTCAGTGTAGTCATTGTGAAGATCTCCTGGAGTCACTTTGAGAGCACATTATTCATT